GCGGGGACATAAGTCGGAACATACCCTCCAGACGGAGAAGAAATGTTTTCACCCTGCTGAAGGTGGACTCTGCTGGAACGCCGCTCCAGACCTCGAAGGCTCCATGGTTGTGGTACAAGTAGCAGCGCCCGTTGTGAGCTCGGAGGAAGCGTTCGCCTTCGATCACCCACAGCAAGGCCACGTAGTCTGTCATGAAGAGGTCGGTGTAACGCGTCCGATACACACAAACGGCTGCAGCACCGAGACGAGTCAGGTTGTCTGACCAGCCAGGGTACCTAGTGCGCGCATACTCCAAGTTCTGGAGAATCTGCTGCCTAATCGTGCCACGGGCCTCTCCAGGAAACGGTGCAGGAACGGTGGCCAAGGAGGCCTGATAGCAGTCGTCTGTGCTGGCGAACAGTGCGTTGAACCTGGTGTCCGACTCCTTCGCTCCGGGCATGAGCCGACGTTTCTTGCAGACTGCAAACGGATCGTCTTCTCGCAATGCCGCATCTGGTGCAGGAGCGAGAGGCACAGGAATCAATGCGAGGCCGCCCGGCTGCGCATCTGAATCTGCAGCGGCTGGACGCATCACTTGTTCTTCCAGTTCACGGACGAGGTCTTCCTGCGAATCAGCCCCCCCTGCAATATCCAGCAAAGACGTCGCTGTCTCTGTTTCACCTGCTGCAGTCACTTCAGTCGCGCGCTTCAAACACTTGAACTGCATTTCCAATGCGACTTCCACCGCCAAATTCTGCCAGTGTTGCGTTCGGCTTGTCTCCATGGGATGTGGCAGATTGTCGAGCTTCAGAGAGCGACCTCTTTGCATCCACTTCTTGCCGTACGCGTGCAGAAACATGAACAGCAAATAGTTCTTCTCCTGGGCGACAGGATGTGAGTCAAAAGCACAGCAGCTTCTAGCTCTGATTTTCCACAAATACTATGATTACGAAGTTCGTTCACTGTTGAATACACTCGGAACAAGCGGAGCTGCCTGCATCAGGAAATCCATAATAACACGGCACCACATCATGCAGCGTTCCCAGCTTCGCTTGCTCAAATGACGAAAGTCGTGCTCGCTGGGAATCAGGAATGTTAGACCAGGGATGTGTTGCAAGTGGGCTCGCTGCAAATGGCGCAGTGTATTGAGGACGGCACTAGGCTTCGGTGCAGCACCACCCCGCAGCTCCAGAAGACGCTGCTTGTGAAAACGGAGCATTAGATCCACTTCTTTGGTCATGACAGGGACAGCATCCACGAACGGCCCAGTGTCTGCGTTATCGGGGTGGAAGCACGCCACATACATGGCAACAACCTGCAGCCCATAGTATTTCTACAAGATAAACTTGTACAGGTTGAGCTGCAAGCGATAGTGCACCCCACTGCAATCTGGGAGATAATCCAGAGGCGGCTTCATGTTGCACCACTGAGAGGTATACTTACTCCTCAGATTCCTGCTACGTTTCCAATCGAAGAGTACCATGCCTCCGTTCTCTGCACGTGCCACGAAGTCGATGGAGCCCGCCAGTCGTTCTTCCTCCGCATAGACGCACCACTCAGTACGGTAGGCCAGAAGCTTCGGTGCATCCACACGAAGCAGGTCACGAAATAACTGCATTTCCAGCCCCTCTAGCGGCGCGACATCGCCATTGAGAAGGCTCTCGATGTGCGCGTGCATGAGAGTGCCCATTGCGGCTGCCTCGGAAGCGTTGTTCTGCCACATCGCCTGACGGGAAACAAAACATTGCCTTGCCCAGCTAGAGTTCAACTTGTACAGGAAACTTTACACAACCGCCAACCGCCTTGATGCAATCATCTGCCAAAGGCTCACCGCGCGCGTCACAATACTGCGGTCTCGGCCAGTTGCGCCCACGTCGCATTTGCGAGATAGCTTTGTCAGCATCGAATTCCTGGACAAACAAGTGAACAAGACCTGTTACCGACAATGGCAAGGCCTTGTTATGCAGGTAGTATGTGTGCGTCTCTGCCACGAAGACAAGGCTTTCATCGCGGAGGTGTCTGTTCTGCATTTCTAGCAGTCTCTGCGGAGCGACTGACTCGCACTGGGTTCTAGGCAGCGGAATCCGGATGTGGGAAGTTTCTGAACTGTATGTGGGACAGCAAAATGGGGACATCCCACGCAACCATTGCACCGCGAAGGAATAGTCGTTGCCGCCTTCTCGACGAATCAGTGCTTCAGATCGATTCCGTGAGAGCCGCATCCACTCCTCGGGGGTCATAGAGCCGCCGACGTAGCTTTGCAACGTCAGTGTGCATCTTGGGCACTGGCGCCAAGGACTTTGGCCGACGTGCCTGCTGCAAACCCATGTGCCACATAACGGGCACGCCGACCACTGTGGGAGCCGCATGGGCCCCGACCTNNGTCCGAGCGCTGAAGTCCACGGGACATGGCAATGTTTTCAGTGTAATCGCTCCAACTCCTGTTGTCCCAGCTTGAGAGAAGACGCGAAGGAAAAACCTCGAATGAATTGGTGCTGTATCTGGTTCTCCTGCTCGCAGAGTAGCACGGGCGACACCTACAGGGATGCTGGTCTTAACTGCCCTATGCCTCGAACCTAGCAGGTTCTCCCAGACACTTGAACCAGTTCACATCTAGTCTAGTTGGCATACCCTGACCTTCACCATTGAGTTGAATAGCGAAGTAACGTTCCGACCAACGCACTTGGAACTTGTTCGGAATGCTTGCCACGAGTCGACGTCCGCTGGCCCCAGGAAAAGGTTGTGGGGCACTGTCGTTTACTCCAAAGGACCAAGTGGCTAGATCAGTGAAGATATTGTCGACGCGGCACCACGAACTTAACCTGCGATTCAGACTCTCCACGCCCATGTACATCCCGCGCGCTTCTTTCGGAAGGGTGAGCTCCATGCTTGCCATGCCCAGGAGCGGCTGCGCGGAGGAAAACGAGTGTAGAAGGCGCCCGCCAGGACGAGGAACCTGGCCCGAAACCGTTGTAAATTTGATGAAGGTACGTTCAGGCCAGTCGATGAGCATGGCCAGCTGCTTCAANNAGCACACCTCCAGCCGAACGCCACAGATTCTCCATGCACCGCAAGCGCTGCGGGCAGTTCAGCTCTTCGCAGTCCACATTCAAGTACAATCCTTTCCAAGACTCACCAGAGCGAATTGTTCTCAACATGCTTTTTGACGCTGCTGCCAGGCACTTTAGATCTGCGTAAGAAAAGGTGTATGTCGGGAGGGACAAAATGATTTCCGGAGGCAAAGAGCCTCCCATGTACAGCACCTGATCAACCTGAAGTACATCGACCGCATGCGCATCTGGAGCCTTGCCAACGCTGTCACCACAGATGAGCTTGGAAGGTTCCATACTATCCGAAACATCCACGACGCGAAAGATTGCATCAAGCTTCGCGGCATCGACGGCTACCATGCCCTCTTCCGGTTCTCTCTGGATACAGTGCCCTGATGGGTTGGGCTTGTTTGCTAGGGCCATGGCCTCAAACTCATGGCAACGCCGACCGAAGTTGATCAGGAGTTCACCTTCTTGGTCATGCTTCGCAGCCACGAAATGGTTTGCATAGGCGAGAATGTAGTTACCCTCTTCCTTCGCGATCGTGAAGCGATCAGATGGGACAATAGTTTTCCTGACCAGTCAGAAAGCGATGTAGCCGCTCGGAACGCAAGCCTACATATTACACATATGCTAGCACTGGCAGGTTGTAGCTGGCTGAGACAAGTTGTTATGGCTTCCCTGGACAAGGCTCCCCAGCGGACCAAGCCAAGCATTGCCATCCCGAACACGCCATGGACCGTCGCTTGGATAAGCCACCTTGTATCCCAGGGCTCGCAGGGAATCCACGAGGCAGCAGTCCTTGAAGAAAGGTCGCGCTTTCGCATATCCTGGAGCAAGGGGATCCGGACAGCCTTGGCGCACCGCATCTTTCGACAGATGGCGTAGAACCTACAGGATTGGTTACACGTACATTCAACTCACGCACGCAGCCCCAATAATCGACTCTGGCAGCGTTTCTTGGGAGGAACGGAGGCCGGAGGATCTGCGGCTGCTAAGCCGGCGACATGAGCCAGAGTAGCAAGGTCTTGCTTCTCCCGAAGAACCAGTGCTCGCACCTCCTTCTTTGCGTTCTGGCGGCAGGTGTGAGCAAGAACTTGGTCCCAATAGAGCTGATTCTGCCGCCTCTTCCTCTGTCGTGAACTCAGAGCCATCCATACTTGTTTCGGTAACCTTCCTGGCAAGCTCTGGCCTGTGGCATGCCAATACCAGGAAATATCGTGACTGCCGTGTCCCAGAGAAGCCACCTTGACGACGTCAAGAAAAGTGTCACTGTTGCCTCAGCGGCATTTGTGCTGCCTTAAGCTTGATGAATACAATGGCGTATGACGGCGTAAGACTGGCACACACGTTCATCCTGTCCACATTCCGTGTCGGACCTCCCGTGAGCAGCTATACGTGTGAGTCTGCGACGTGACATGTGCGTTGAGATGCGCAGAGAGTACAGAGCAGTACAGAGTCTACAGAGGGCACCTGCTGGCGTCGTGACTACCTTCACTATCTTCGGCACGTCTTGGGCATGACCTTCAGGCTTCGTTGTAAAAAGGGACAGAGTTCGAAACAGCAAACACATCATAACGGTATGGCCTGAACCGGGGGGACAGCCGCCACCGGGTCCTGGACACTTATTCTCGGCCACAGTTGTGTGTGCAAAGAGAGAAGTCGCCATCATCGTCCCGACAGTGAGCGCAGGACCTCGCGAAGTGGCACAAACACGAGAATGACCTCATGCTTGGAGATGGACCGGCAGTCCACTGAGT